GCTATGTGGGTGAAGGGCTGCTCATGCCCCTTAGCTATAGAGGGGGCTGTAACTGAGGAGAAAGACTAGCTAGCTAGTTCCTTGCCTAGGACTGAAGAGTCTGATTGCCTATTGCTTATCCCCCCCCATTTTCCATACTGTTTTGTTTAGTGATTCCAGTATTTTCTTTTTACACTTCATCCATGAGAAAATCTGGTAATACTCATGTGGAATTTGGAGAGAACTTTTCTAAAAGTTGAACCATATTCATTCAGTCCTTGCTTACGTCCTGAATTCTTTTTACAAGCCTGCAGTAATCAAGTCTATTTTTTTTCAACAGCAAAAGCTTACTTTTTTTGCCATTTTTAGCTCAGCCACCTAGATTATATGGGTCACAGTTCTTCTCCTACAACAAATAGAAACAGTTGGACATTGTAATTTTCCCTCCACGCTTTTTGTGCAAAGTTTTTGTTATAGACCTTAAGTATTTCCCTTAGCTGCAACCTGTCCTACTTTGTAAACATGGTTTGAAGAACTGCAGGTAGGAAACAACCTCTTACAGGCAAGTATTTGTTAGAATATTCTGAGAAATGTTCTAATAAACTATCTGTGCAAGACAATGTTTTGATGACTGTTAGAGTAATCTGGCACTAGAAATAAATTGTATGCCCCAGTTGTCAACCATGATGGGTTCTTTTAAAAATCCACCACAATTTATAGCACAATGACTAAATCCATCATATGCAGTTGGGTGTAATTTATAATGTAATGCAATAAAATATAGCTGCCCTAATAAAAAGCTATATAAATCACATAGAAAAGAAACAAACATTCACCAGGAAAAAAAAAAAGGAAAGACAAGTCAACAAAGAGAAAAGGCTTTCTTTTTCTTTTCAGCCTTCCTCTACTCTAGGGTCTAATCCTGCCCCTGAAGTGCACTGCAAAGGTCTAGTTCAGCAATGGAAAATTGGAATCTTGAAAACTGACATTGTTAATCAGTACTGACACCATTGAAAAGAGTGTAACTGTGTGGGGCTGGTGCAGGAGTCAGTCTAAAGCCAGTAGGAGATTTCTGTAGCTACAGCGTGGCAGCTCCTCTGGAAGGTGTATTCTGATGGGAAGGAGCTTTGGGGTTGCTCTGCTTTGTGAAAGAGCAAATTCTTCCCTTCCAGTGGAATATGCCCTTATTTCCTTTATCACCATTCATCTCCCCTCTTGACTGCAGAGTAGTCTAGTGTCTGCCTTTTATTGCTTAAGATGGCACATTTGGCTTTGAAATGGTCACTTACTGCAAGAGGAAGAGAGTCACAGTCAGCATCCTCCAAACATGGAACTCAGTGGCTGGTTCAGTGAGGTGAAGGCTGCTGTTCTCCTGTCCTTCTGGCACGGCAAGAGAGCTGAAAGGGCTCCTGCATTAATATCCTTTCTGCTTCTTGGTACACTGATGAGTAGATAAATAAAACTTCAAACATGCTACAGCAACACTGATATGTTTGACTGCTACCCAACAGTCTCAACTTTTCCCTCTCTCTCCAATTTCGTCATAAAACACAAACATCAGGTAGATGAAAATGCATCTACATCCCCTTTTTGCCATTGGCTGTAGATTAACAAGCATACAAGAAACAGGGCAATTTCAAAGTGTTTCAGGCCCTGGTACGTCCCTTCAGCTTCTTGTGATCAGCTGTTCATGATCTTTTTCAGGAGGTTAGACAGGTTTGTTTGGTGGTTGGTCAGCTTTCCTGCTGGGAAGGGTATATGTATTTTGCTTTGTGTAGTCTTGCTGCATAGCAAGAAGCATGGCTACAAACAGTCAGTGCCTTGAACGAAAGATTGAACTGCTGGTTATGAGATCAGCCATTGCACTTGTTGTAACAACCTGTTCTGGTTTTACAGCCATCAGTGCTTAACAGGCCAATAAGAACCTTTCCATTTACCTTAATAGGAGCTGGAGCTGGTCCCAAATATCCTGGGGTTTGTTAGCCTGAGCTTTTATCTTCTACAATGCTACAAGAGTGATATTTATTAAAACTTAGCAAAAAGAATTGCTGTTATTAATGTGTGAGACCAAATATAGCTGCATCTCTAACATGCTGGCATGGTGCCATTAATTTGCAAGACAGCAGAGTAGAGCAGTGATACATAAAGCTGAAATTCCAATTAGAAAGACATACCCTGGTTTCTGAATACTTACAATGATTGTGACATTTGCTTGCAATGAAACAGCCCATCTCCATGAAAGATAGAGATGTTTATTTTATAATCCCTATTTATAAGCTGCTGCAGTGGGAGCATTGTTCTTGATATAAAGGATGGTTGGCTTCTTTTCTACCTTGGTGAAATCTTTCCTATGGAAAGAGAATAGAAATGAAACATCCAGAACATCTGCAAAGTGGAAGGGAAGGGTGAATGGTAAAAGAAGCATTGCTTCCTAATTTAATTAATGAGTTTTCCTCTAACACTTGTCAGCCTAGTATCCAAACAATTCTCATGCAACAATAACTTTCTGCCCTGCTACTAGTGAGATCTGGGAAATGTTCTTATTTCAGTTTCACACAGGCATAATCTGAGGATGGTGGAGTTTGAGTGACATGGGGAACACATCAGGGAGCAGGAAACAGGATCAAGACTCTCTGTGAGTTCAGCATCTGAATCCCCCAAACTTCCCCCCAGTGCATGAAGCAAGTGACCAACCTAAGCCTGCATGGTTTTTTTTGGCTACTGGATTTTGTGAATGACTGGCCCGTTAGCTGAAATTCTAAGGGACCAGAACAGAATGGGAGGAAGGGTGAGTGGGCAGAACATTAATCCAAAGAGCTCTACCACACGCTCTGTTGACCTTTAGCAAATTGCTTGGACTACTGGTGCATCCACCTACAAAGTTTTAAACAGGTTGCTTTGAACCTACCTTGCAAAGGTCTATCAAAACAGTGAGTCCAAGACTGTGAGACTGTTCACAGAAGTATTTGTGAGAACCCAGGATATCTGCAGAAAAAGGAAACCAAAAGTTTTAAAAGCCCAAGTCTTCTTTTATCTGGGTATGGACCTCTGCTGCCTTTGTGTTGTTTCAGGAAAAGGGAAGCTGCTTTCATTTGGCTGGTGCTGGAGGAGGAGGACAGATGATTTGTTTTGTTCTTAAAGGAGCACTCACTTCTGTTACCTGCTGGTAACAGGAGAGAGAAAAAGCCATTGTCAAACAAAACATACATATAATATTTCATAATCCCACAAAAAAACATTAAAGACCATTGGCATCCTGCTTTGGGAGCTCAAAGAGCTGCTCAGACATTAGCTAATTACATTTGGCACAATCAGCTCATCTTACAAGCAGACAGACCCATTAGGTGACATGCTCGGGTGGTATAAAGTTTTGATTTTGGCAGCATAGCTCATGTACTCCAGCTAAGGACAAGACCCTTTGTTTCCATTTCTTATACACAAAGGAAACTAATGCCCTTTTATCTAACCTTAATCTGCAGTTCCATGTACTGAGGAAGGACCAAGATGAAGGACCGAGATGAAGGTTTCACCTTGTGTAACCACAGTTCAACCAGCAGCTTCCAAGCTGCTAAATTAAGATTTCTTTCTGTTCGCTACAGGGTAACACAAAAGCAAAACTTGACTCAAATCATGGTGAAATGATCCCAAAGGAACAGCAGAATTGGGGGTTCTCAAAACCCATGTAGCTCTGGAAGGAAGTTAAAACAAATGGAAGAACACAGTGAACAGTGGAGATGAGGTCTCACAGAGCAGAATGAGACAGAAGCACTGCCACCAATTTCACTGGGCACTAGATCAGTCCTGCAGAGTTTTGGAGGGAAGTTTGCCACTAGATTTTGAGATGGAGAGAAAGAAAAGCGTGAGCAGGGGTTTCACTACCTGTACAAATGCTAGCTCATCACCATCACATACAGAATGAGGAAAGTGGGAGCACAACAGAACTTACTGTTCTCTGATGGCTGCAAGTCAAAGAAATCCATGTTCTTGACTCTCCTCCTTGAAAAATATTTATATCTTGATAATGAGGAGGGGACAAAATAAGTCCATTGATCAATAACATATTACATACCAGTGGTCACTGTACTCACCTGGACCCTAAGCTGGCATTGTTTCCCCTCAATGCAGGTGAAGGATCAACAGCCTTTGTCCCCAGTGGGTCCCTCGGAAGCTTTGACAGGCAGGTAAGCATCTCGTTAAGATCATCAGCTTAGAAGGTCACTGGGGGACTGATTCCATATCATCCAGCAGCTGTGATCCACCATGAAATGAACAGTTAAACCCAGATAGGTTCACAAATGTCATGTATTTATCACTGTCTGTGAGTTCACAGGTGTCATTTTGCTGTCTTACCCAGCAGAGCAACGGCAAACACATTAAGGTAATCGGGGGAAAACATACCTGCAGGGGAAAACCTGGGAAATGCACCTAAGGATGCTTTGGGTTTCCATACTTATTTTAATAAGGCAAGAGTCAATCCATAATCCCAGAATAACTATAGAATAAACTCAATGGAAAAAAAAAAAAGAAATCACATATGAATTAAAAAAAATAATTAGTGCAACAAAGAAATTGTCTCGAAGCTTGCAACTACCCTGTGCTTGGGCTATTTTTCATGAAGGAGAGGTAAAATGAAGAGCAAACAGAAACAACACTCTCTCCATATGGAATCAGTGTATCTGCACTGAGTAGATGTTTGTCGTACTGTAGAGTTAGAGGAATGTCTGAAGAAATGACCCGACCTGTGATTAGAAACTTAGTCTTCATCACACATGGCTAGGTGAGATTGAGATTTGACCCTGTGTCCAAGACATCACACAGGAAGGAGCAATGGTATTTAACATTTGTTTTCTATGGCCAGCTGCAGTGCAGCACTGTAGAGGGACAGATTTCAGTTGTGCAAGAGTGGGACTTCTTGGAGTTGATCCCCCTTCCCTAGTCTTCCTTGAGGCAGATCTCAACGGGCGGTTGTTTTCTGCTTGAAGACGATTGTACCTGGAAAACCATCTCATCTGGCTCTTGGATTAAAAGGTGGAAGACTGTGCACTGAGGGAGGCTACTCTTGTCTGAAACTACTTGCTGAAATTCTCTTCTGGCATCTGCACGAGACTTTCATGTACAAACTGAAACAGAAAAAGTGGTTTGTTTTTTTTTTTTTTTTCCCCCTGAGCTTTTGATTCATGTGTAAGAGACAAATAAACATGGGAGAATTTGACCATTGTGACAATAGAAAAAATGTAATGGGTTTGCAAACATTAGTATAGTGCTTTCTATCACCAAAACATTTGTAATGCAACTTCTTGAACAGATGAGTATGCTGTAAAATTAATTAAAAGGAAAATTCTACAGTTGTTATTGCAAGTTATAACCTGAATCCTTCGAAGTCAAGACTTCGTATTTTAAACTTGCAGCCAAATTCTACCCACCATTGCAGTGTGTATATTAAAAGAACTTGAAGTTAAATAAGAACTTCATCTGGAATCTCTGAAGTATCAGCCAGGTCATATTCAGTGATGCTTCCCTTGCTCCTAAAATGTGGCGGGTTTTTTTATCTATTCTAGTCAGAAGGAGCACCAGGGTCCTCCTTCCTCTGGCCGTTTTTGAAAGACATATAAATAAATAGGTAGGATATTAATCTATACTCACATTTTCCACTGTTTACTACTGCACTAATATGAGGAATGCAAAGGGAACAGAACAGAAACAACAAGAAAATAGATCTAAAACCAGCAGGCAACAGAGACTTATATTGAACTTAAATATAGACACATCTGTGGAGTAAGGGCAAAGCTGCCTCTCTGGTTAATGACTATGCAAAGTAGGACACAAGAGAAAATGGCTGTTTTTCTAAGACATCAATTAAAAAATAGGTAGTCTGATCTTGACATGTTGGGTGACAAAACTTTGCCTTTGTAAGGCTCGATAACAACTCGATACACGTAAGATGCACAGTAACAGATTTCTGGTTTGAACAAACCCCACGAGGTGGCACCATTGCCATTTTTTGTAAGTCGGTTACCTCGTCAGACCACAGCAGTATTCATACTAAATGTACTCCCTTCCCTTGCTCCTGTCCTTCCTCTTCTGCCAACTGCTTGTAGAACTACAAGAGTTGAGCCCAAATTAAGAACTTGAGAAGCAGGTTTTAAAATTATTATATTTTTTGATGTTGCTGAAGAAAAAAAGTTACTGCAGGGTTCTGGATCAGGGAGGTAGCAGATGACTTGAACAGCTCATGGGTGGAACGGGTGGGAAGGATGGGCCTTTCCAGGGCACAACAAGCCAACGTTTCTCTGCCAGTGCTCAAACCACTTATGACAGATGCCACTTTCACTGTGGCATTAAATAAATCAACATTGACATAATAATAAAATGATGCTGATTAATAAACCAGTGCTTGCCACAATGTCTTTCTTCTGAGTTCAAAGCACCTTGTAGAGGCGAATAGTGGAATCTTCATTTAGTGAGATCATAAATGATTTCCTCTGGTAGCTTTCTACTGCATGAATTTCAGCCGTAGGTGCCTGCTCTCCCCCCTCCCCAGCACAGAGAGAATGGAGAGCTGGCCTCCTCTCACCTCCACAGCTGCAGCAGATTCTGGAGAACACAGCTCCCACACCTCCAGGTCAGCCACAGCCTTAAGAAAGGTGTCAGGATGAATTTACAAGTCAGGGGTCGTGCCATATTTTTCCAGTTTCTTTAAGGTTTTCTGTATGTAATGGTCACTCTTCACAGACTCTGGGAGTCTGGCAAGCAATACAGGAAACCTTTAGCAGAAAGAACAGCAGCAATAAAAGAGAAGCCATGGGAACAAATGCATGTTTGATTAATAACTCTGGGTTTGCCTGGCATTTCTGCCACCTCCCCCCCTCCATAACTTCTGCGGGAGAAGTGGCCTTTGGGGAGTGCAGTGCTCAGTGTAATTCCAAGTGAATAATGAGAAAGAGCTTTACTTTATTGGACTTGTGCACCAATTCCCTTTGCAGGGCCTTGAAATAGATGCTTCTTCATTGTTCATTTAAATTTTGGATGACAAACTTGGGTATGAAAGGAAATAATAAAATCCTAACAAATGTTTCCATTTTACTACAGTTTGGTCCTCTTCATCTTTTCTCTATTTATTTTGTTTAGCCTCTATGGATTTTCTGGTGCAATCAGTGCCTGTTCTGACACACTGTCTGATTCTCTTTACTATCCTTTTTCCCTGTGCTATCATCATTCTCCTCTCTCTGTGTTCTGACATAAATCTCGCAACCCTAAGTGCACTGTAATATGCAGTCTTTACCATTTCACTCTGGATATAGAGATTCAGAAGGAGAATTACACGTTACAATAAAAATAAAACTCTTGTGAAAAGACTGCTTTTTTTTTTCTTTAATGTTCTGTATAAATTCTGCAGTGCTGCTTTGACAGTCCTGGAGACTGATGTTCCAAACCTTTCTAGGCTGTGCATGACTGGGTGTGCTGGGGCTTTCATAAGGGCTAAGGATTTGGCAACACATCAGCAGGAGGTGCTGCCTCCCTCCAGTTTGGGATACATATAACTGGGACAGCAGGAGAGTGGTGAGAAATTTCATTCTTAAACCAGTAAAAAAGGCAACATGTAGGTTCACATCTTCACTAAGGCCAGTTCTATGTTCAGTAGCACACTGCTGGTATGGGTATGGCTCTATAGCCAACTCCTTGTCACTGGTTCACAGAGCTTTGTCCAAATTAAGGCTTAAATGTTTATAGCAGAAAGGTAAGTACAAAAGCAAAACCACATCCACTGCAGCTTCAGGACTTCTTTACATACCAGATTTTAAACTGGGGGAACAGCTGGAGCGTGTATGTTTGACAGTTAAACCTAGAGTTAGTTCTGCTGGGTAGGCCAAGACTAGATATATTCATTAATGAATGTGTCCCTGATGTGTCCGAGGCCACCTGCATTTTGGACCTGAGATTAGAACTTTTTGATATCTCAAATTACGAAGGACACAAGTCTTACTAGCAAGGAGATCAAATGAGGGCAGGCTTAAAAAAAAAAACATTCTATGCAGTTTGCATTCTCTGTTATCCCATGTCCAAGGAATTCTCATGGACAGGGCAGTAGAGAACATGCTGTGAGCTTGCTAAGGTGTCCTGGTAGGCTGTTTCTAGTGTGCATCAGGAAGGTGATCACTGCATACAGCTAATATCCTTTCAGCCATAAAACAGATGTCGTCTGCAGAGTTGCTGTACTGGGAAGCATTGAGGTGATTACTCTACTTGCCTTTGTAAGTGCTGCAGTATTATCCATGTGCAGTTCAAACACAGGCAGGGAAATATTCTTTTTAACAAAGATGGACACCTAGAGTCAAAGTCCTCTTTGCCATCAGTCTTAGTGCTGTGGATGTTCAGTAAGAAGTTGTGAATCTAACCCTTGTTCTTTTATACAGTATCTCCCATCTTCAGGGTACAGTGTGTTTTACATCTTCCTGGTGGAGAAGGTCTCCTATAAAGCTACACACTGGAGATGCTGTACAAGTGAAAGGACTGAGTGCTTTTTGCCCTGTATCACTGGAAAGGAACCCTCCCCATTAAACTTTTTGAAAATCCTTCCCAATTAACCTATTTGCTGAGCTGGCTGAAATCTGCTCCTAGAGATCATATCTGTATTTTTGCTGCTACCACTTAAAAAAGCCTGCATCTCCAGCAACTGAGTCAGTGGTTTCTAGTGATACTTTCTTTTTGGGAGGAAAAAAAAAAAAAAAAACCAGAAAAAAAGTTTTTTGTCCTCAAGACAGACCTCTGGGACTCTGACCATCTCATTAGAACTAAAGGTTTCTGTGCCTCCTTACCAGTTTAGTCCATCATGTTCTCTTTCAGCTTTCATGCCCAGCTGTCTCATTCTTTCCATGTCTCTTCTGAAATACTTTGATTGTTTCAAAGCCTGCTATTTTTGACAGCATCATGCTTCTTGCCTCCTACAAAAAAACCCTTCAAGTTAAGGCTGTGTTTTAAACATGACTGTACTTCTGCATAGTTAGCTGGGAAGATAGTAAGGAAGGCAGAAAACAATGAAACTGAAGGACATTTTGTATGTTTAATGTGTGGTGACTAATAGCAAGTTTTGCTTTTGTGGTGTTCTGGATGCATTCACATTTGTAGAAATGTATTAAAAATGGTTTATGTTTTGTGTCAGATTTTGGTAAGAAACTTCAAAATCAAAACATTTAAACTGAAATTCAACCACCCCTCTGTCAGGCACCCACTGCTTAAACCAAAACACAATACTGTACAGTGACTTAGGGTGAAATATTATTTAAAATGCAACAGAAGAGAGGTGGAATAGAGTGACCTGAGTGGGAATTTTGATGCAGAGATTTGGCTCATCAATATACTCCTCCAAAAAATACAAAAAATACAACTGTGTTATAGCAAAAAAAAAAAAATCTGCTTTTCTTTCCAATAAGTTACTGATACTATATGCTGCCAAACTGAGTTTTCATCTCTAAACACTGGTCAGAGAGAACATGCTTGTGTGGCTGGATGGAGAATGGTAAAATAGCTGCAAGTCTTTCCATACTGTGGGATGCTGGAATGATTAGCTCCTTATGCAGGCACAGCAACTGCCCAGGGAAGAAAACAAGGACCCAGCTCCAGAGAAGGAAAGCTCTGGGGACAAAAAAAAAAAAATTTCTAAATAACAAAATGGAACAGAAGAACAGAAAGGAGAAGGAAGTGGAAGGAAATAAAGCTGTGCCTATAGCACCCTTCAGAACAGCAATGTAGAGAAGGATCTCAGGCCTGATGCTCACTGAGACAAAAGAACTTGCACAAACATCACAGATAAATATTTCTGGGTGAAAGGAAAAGGATGACAGGCTTCAGGTGGTCAACAAGGTAGAAATGTCACCGATCTGGGAAAAGGCCTTGAGAGGGACATTGTGACTGTTGCTATGAGAAGAGTCAAAGTAATGTTGAAGAACAGTACAGGGATCTCTGAACTGAACACACAAGAGAAGAATACAGAATGTAAGTGGACAGAATTTATTATGCTGTCTTTAGGTGAAAAGGACTATGATGTCCAGGAAAAATATATCCAATGGTTTTAGCACAACCGTTTCCAGAAAAATAATTCAGAAATATCCAAAACCACTACTATAAATATTTAACCTGTAATATATATAGAGAGAGAGTACACAGTCAGTCATAAAACTTTCTATCATCATCCCTATATTCTTATTTTCACGTCAATCCATCTAAATGCATCTTTAAAAGGTCTGAAGACAAGTCCTAAATCTAGTCAAAAGCAAGTGTTTCAAGAGTATATAGGAAACAGCCTTTTCCTACCACTCAAGGCTCACCAGGGTATCATGTAAACAATAAGCTGCTTTTTCTTGTATTGCTGTGAACTTTTCCCTCATACTGGCACACAAGTTAGATTTGTTTTTAACAGAAGAGCTGATACAGGAGTTGCAACTAAAACAACACAGAAAACTGGAATTAACGTCTTGTGGCAACCATTTTGTGGTAAGCATCTGTGTTGCTCAGATTATACAGGGATGTGAGCTTATGTAAATTTTGAGATCTCTTTATTCTCTGTAAATAGTATTAAATTTTGATTTTACTTTTTTTCCAATTCATCAAATTTATGAAAGAATTTGATTAATGAAAAATTATAAGTTATATTACTTAGGTTTTTACCATCCTTCCAGGAAAGTGTTTTTGCATGGCACTGAAACGTGCTAAACGTGCTTCAGTGTTTCACTGGCCTGCTCTGGTCTCCTGTAATAAAATGCTCTCTTACACAGGGAATTGTGGATGCTCCATTACAGGATGTATTTAAGACCAGGCTGGATGGAGCTTTGAGCAACCTGGTCTAGTGGGAGGTGTCCCTGCCCATGGCAGGGGGCTTGGGTCTAGATGATCTTTAATGTCCCTTCCAATCCAAATAATTTTATGATTCCATTATTTCCATACCAAATACTTTTCACACATAGATCTGAGTTTATATGACATGTAACGTGCTTCAACACCAGATTTTTACCCTTACCTCTGCTTTCTGGGCCTCTGCTTCCTTGATGTTATCCTCTCTTGGTCCTTAATGAATGGCATGTTTTTCTTCTGACCCACTGGCAACACACTGTAAGACACAAGGTTTATAATAGTGTACAGTGTGCCCTCTCCAGAATGTAAAAGGTTCTACAGGCATTGATGAAACATTCTTAATATTACAGACTTGCTGGAGCTATCCAGGTACAAAATTTATTTCTCTTGACCTTAACTCAAGGGAAGAAAATGCTTTAGCAAAGTCTAATTGTAGGAATGATTTGTCTAGTTGATCTTACAGCTGTGGAAACCACCACAGAACTGAAAAATGAGGGAACACATCTAGTGTAAGCTTAGCTGGAAATGTTATAAAGAGGCTACTGAAAAATGCAATGTAAAACAGAAGCAATTCTACAGGAATAAGATATAACATCACTTTTTCTACGAAGCTGCTGGAGCATAAAATTTCTGTTTGCAAAGACAAGATTCATCAGGTATTTTTCAGAAAACACATACTGCTTGCACAGCAGTAAAATGGGCTGTTCTGCCACCCATGCCAAAAATATGCAAACCTCTGCTGAATTCACTCAATGCTGAATTTGGTTTTGAAAGAAAGAAGGAAGGAAAGAAAGAGGGAAGGAAAGAAAGAGGGAAGGAAAGAAAGAGGGAAGGAAAAGGAGCTGCTCTGTCCTGATGAGCTGCTTCTCCTAGTCATTCAGAAACCCATCAGGTAACATACCACTGTAGTCCAATCTTCTTAACTGTATCTTCTTGTTTAGGGACACGTCTTGACACCACTTCAGGCGTTATCTGGATGCCTTTCTGCAGGGCTGATAAAAACAATTCTGTAAAAACATGCCAACTCAGTAGTGCCACCTTCTCTTCCTTGCAGAGAGGACTGCTGTATATGCTGGCCTGCACGAGACAGCCTAGAAAAATCTGCTATTTAATATTGCTAAAAATTAAAATTTCTTCAAAAGAAAAACCAGCTTTTTAAAAGTGTTTCAAGATAAGTGCCCAAATATGAATGCACCCAATACATTCATCACTCTTGGAAACATAAGGTTTGTTCTTTCAGCTGTGAAAAAAAACAAAACCATCAAGTAGAAGATACTAAATAATTTTTACATTAGATGCTTATAAAAACAGTGTGTTAGAAAAACAAGTAGGTTGAACAAATTATGCAGAAAGTCTATTTTCACTTCCTGTGCTGTGAGCATTCTACTGGCATTCC